CTGCTGAAAAGCCATAAAATATCGCTGTCACCCCTGCCCAGCCTGCAGGCTGCCCCAGGCTGCTGACTCGCCTCTGACTGCTGGAGAACTTTTTGTGCTTTAAACAGCTCTGCAGAAAAGAAACGTAAGACCTGACTTCAGCATCTTTGCTTGACAACTCAGCCATGAGCTTTGGACCAAGCAGCCGCATCTGAATCCACTTGACATCTCCCAGGCACAGGCGTGGAGGGGTGGCTGAGCTGTTTGAATCCCCTAAAGCCCCGGATCCCAGCAAGTTTTCCAAGCCCTCTGTCTACAGGCTGGTGCTCCCTTGCGTTTCTCCAGCGACACAATGTCACCGCGATGCTCTCTGCTTCCCCTGGCCAATTTGCTGCTCAGCTCCCCAGGCTCCCAGTCCCAGTCTCCTGGTGTCCCCAGACCCCCGGTGATCCCCAGCTGGCATGTCTGGAAGCAGCCAGGCATGAGCCACATCTCCCCCGGGGTGACACCCCCTCCCAAACGTGCTCCATGCTTCTCTCTTTCGCAACTCCCCCACCCTGCCTGGGGACATCAGGGTGCCAGGGCAGGGCTGCCCCCGGGCCCCATGCTGGGGCCCTCCCTGTCCCATGTGATGAGGCTGTTTGCCACCCACTCCCTGCCACGGGGACCTTTTGTGGGGGTCCAGATTCTCACCCAGGACCCCCACGGCCCCGCCAGCACGGAGGGGTGCCAACAAGATGGGGTCCGCAGCGGTTCTTTACAACAAGGTTTTATTTTTCTTTCCTTTTTGACAAAAAACATTGAAGTTGTACATCACCGTCAGTCGGTTCGGTTCCCCGTTTGGGTCCTAACGAGCATGTTATGTTACAACATCCCGCCCCAGTGCCTGGGGGATGAAGGCAGAGCATCTCCCACCCACCATCCCTCAGCCCCAGGAGCCGCCAGCCCCACACCAGGGGGGCTCTGCCCTCCGACGTCTCGTGGGGGGACAGGAGGATGGGGCTGGGACAGCCAGCCCGGAGGGGACAGCAGGGCTGCTTACTCTGGGGCTGCCCCATCTCCCCGCACACCCTTCACAGTCACCCCAGGAGCTTTGCAGGGCTTCAAGCCCAGTCCCAGCTCCAAACTGGGAACCAGTTGCATGCTACTGGTGAAGTCTTGCCAGGACAGGGGCTTTTCCTGTGCAGGCAGAGGTTGAAACATGTCCCCCACCTTCCTCATCTTCTGTCCCATGGTCAAGCACGGCCAGCAGCCACTGACAGCGAGTGCAGCGGCAGATCCCCGGTGTCCGGGAGGCGAAGGAGATGTCCAAAAGGCCACGGACAAGAGATCGTACAGCAGCAAATCGAGTCCAGTGCCTTGAAAAGTGAGACGCAGGCTGCAGCAGCGCCTCGGGGACCTTGCTCCTTCCCGCTCAGCGTAGTCTTTTCCATGGTTTTCCTGGGAGTTGTGTTTTTGGTTTCAGAAATGTGCTTTGGAGGTGCCACCTTGTCCCCACGGGTCCCAGCCTTCCCTCCCGCTGCAGGAGCGGGACTGCAGCTATTGCAGGAGAGACATTTTTTGGCCCCCTCCCTGGGAAAAAAGGGGCTCTGGTTTGCTTCATACAGTTTCTGGGCGTTAATAAACCACAGGTCTTACATGCCACAAAGCTCAGGTTCGGACGCTGCTGCCCGCTGCCACGCGTGGGTGCATCCCAAGGGACTCTGCCCGAGCCCGTACCACCACCGCAGAGCATCGCCGCACACCGCTCACCGGCCCCGTGCTGGGGTCGAGGAAACAAAAAAACACCCAAAGCTTGAAA